AGTTTGAAAATTATACAACACCTACGCATATTATTTATAACTAGTTTGGAAAAATTATATCAACGGACAAAAAAAAAATTATCATAAGTTCTACGAACCTCACAATAAACTTATTATTATTTTATCACACATGTCATATTCATGGAATCAGATGAAATAAAATATAAATCAAAGAAATTAAACTTTATTAAAAAAAAATATGTGTACTCTGCAGGTTAAGCATATATTCAAAAACCATATAAATAACTTATTAAAAAAAAAGCTATCATATCAAATAACATTACATTTATTAGTCTTAGTGAATTTTTAAATTTATAAAATATTTTATCACCTCCATTAGATGATTTCACCTGTTTTATAACTAAAATTTGTTGTTCAAAATTACAAATCATAATACTTACAACTAAATAGTTTTTGCTGTAGCATATTTTAGATTTTGACTATTGATATTTTATTAAATAACATTTTATAGTTTATCCATGAATACTTTTTTTCACGTGTTCAAAAAGTTTCACAAAGTTTCTTTAAAAACTAGAAAATCTGATTTAAATGGTATTTTGAAGGGTTCGTTTTTAAATTTTCTAAAAAATTTCTCTAACCGTTAGGTGAAACTACTACAATTCATTCGAAAAATTTAAATCACCACATTTTTGAACGAATGTTAACAAACCCAGTTTTAAATCCACTTAGGATCGATTTTCAAGCACTATGATGTATTTTATTATCGTTTTCGAATTTAATACGAATAACATACTATTATCCAGCGTAAAGGTTCTGAAAATTCTGAAAAAAAAGAATTATTACTGATTTTTGGATTAAATTTTGATTATTTTTATTTTATCAAATTGTGTAGTTGGCCTTTTAATAGTGGTCACTTTAGTACTTTACCCTTATTCCTGTTTTTAACTACTGCAATTCTATAAAACATAACTATTCCAGTAGTACTTGTGTGAGTATTATTTTATGAACAGACGTAAAAAAAGATACGGTAGCACCGATAAAATAAAATGGTAGTCGAATAACTATAATATACACAGTGACATTACTACTCTTATCAGGCATTCAAATAAATCCATTTGAATGATGAGATTGAAAAACTTTAGAATATGTCATTATTTCGTAACTAAATTTTGTTTAATGTTACTTAAAGGTAACTTCAAAAAACTAATATTAATTTTAGTTTTAAATTGCCCGATGTGTAGTATACTACTTAAATAATTGTACTTTTTAAGGACTCTGTAGTTCTGTACTTTTAACTATACGTGTCGATTTAATCTTAAGTACCTAGTACTTACGTTTACACGTAAATAGCTTTTTAGTAATTGCAAGCAGTAAACAAATAAAGTAAAATGTAAAACTTTTTTAAAATCATTTATGATTACCAACAAAATATTTATTTTTTTTTTCAAATTATTAATTGTATTTTACTTTTACTTATACTTTTAGAACATATTTTCTAGAATTTTATATATCAATAACTTTTTTAATTCCAAAATTATGAACTTGCTTGATTTCAAAAATGTTTCACTAAAAAAAAATGCATTCATTTATCAGATGGTAATAAACAATATTATTTCACCAACTAATTTTAAATTTTCTAATATTGTTTTTTAACCAAATAATAATTGTTTTCTATAAATCAAATCACATCACAATATAATAGTAAATGAGCACCATACTATTAGATAAATAAACATATTTCTAACTGTAAAATATTTACAAACCAAATACACGTATATACACACAGTATTCGTTATAAACACAAATAATAATAAAATAAAATAAGTGAAAAGTGATTAAATGTATTACAAAAAAATAACATTTAACTGCATATTATCTTACAATTAAATACAATTTAAATTTTAAACATTAGACAGCAGTCTATTTACGTACAAAAGATTAATCAAAACTGTTATTTTTCAAAATAAAATTGGAAATTATAAACGTTTTTTATTACAAATTGTAACCTATCCAAAAATAATATGATCCTGTTTTCCTTTTAATAAATTTTACATTACATGCATCTAACTTTTATATAATAGAAATGCAAATGCAATTTTTTGAATAAAATAATATTTAGTTTATGTAGAATTTATTTTATTGTATTCTATTGAATAGAATCTATTCCTTATACCACGTATGTAATAATATAAAGTATATAAAATAATAATAATTTCCAATTGCCATTATACTGTTGTAAATTTACACAATTTATTATTTATATTTCAAAATTAGTAAAACTGTTACTGAATATAATATGTCCTAAAAACAACGATAAAAAATGATGTATTAGAAGATAGAACAATAAATTTATATAAAATAAACTTTCATGCTAAAAATATTTTCCACGAAATGTATTGTACTCAACTCTTAAGCTTTCTCGTCACACCTTAATAGCTATTTCACTCATAATTTGTTTTTAATGAATCTTTCGAGTGTATTCAGTGACTTTGTATTTTTTCTTTTATCTTTTACAATGATCCTAAGTTCTACACAACGTTTGTTTTATGTAACATGTCAACAGCTACATCATTTGTAATACCCTTTACCATATTATTATAAGCCACGGAGTGTCATTTATTAAATAAATTGATATTAATAAACTTAAGCTTTCTACTGAGTTCAACAATTAACGAGCAAACATTAAGCGTCAGCATCTGTTGTTATAGCTGCACACGATTTTTCTCTGGTGGTTGGCAAAGACAAGTCGATTAAAATAAGATAATAGGTTTATTACACAAAACCTGGATACCAAGTTTTACCAAATCACTAGTTATTGCAAAAAAAAAAACAGAAAAATACAAAAAAACACTATTATATGATTGTCTAAAATATTATTTACTTATATTTACCTAGAGTATTCTATTTGAGTTTGATTGTATTTTAACTGTAAAGGTTGAACTTTAATTCAAAGATTTTTCGTAATTTCTCACCAACAAAATATAAACTAAAACATTATTTTGTAAATACGTTACTTTTTACTATACAATATACATGGTATATTTTGAAGAAGAATTCAAATTCATTGAAATATGAACAGGCATTTAATTAGCGTGTGACCCGATAATTGACTCGCTATAGTTTACCGAAATTTTATAAAATAAACTGAAAAAAAAAAATTATTTCTAAATATGTTAATTCCGGTTATATAAAAACTGTTTTAAAGGCCTATAACTATAGTATCTGATAAATGAAAATCATCCCACAGTTTAAAAAGTATTAGCTATATAATATATATACAGACAATTGAATATTACAATAATTATTATATTAATCAATATTAAAATTCAGAATCTTCATAAAAATTTATGAACTTAACCAACAAAAATTAACTTTCAAACTTAATAAAAAAAAGTTACTCAATAAAAATTTCAAGGATTTATTCATACATTGTTAAGAGGTATAAAATGTTTATGTTTTATAATTTAATTAAATTCATATTTTATTTTCATAATAATAATTTTTATTTATTGCCTATTGGGTATCATATTTAACATTTCAATTATATTTATTATTCATATTAATTGTATTTTTTTCCTAATATTTTCAAATAAAAACCTATAAAATACTAGATAAGTCACGTGTAGTTGTGTGAATAATAAACAAATAACAATAAAAGGAAGGAGAATAAATTGATCTTGGCAATACTAAAATACTATGTTTCAGTAGTTCTTTTTGAATTCTAAAATAATACCCATGGTAAATTATATTTTTATTAAAGTAAACATGTTATGTCAATATGTGATTTATTAATAGTAATAATAATAATATTTTATTTGTTTATGTATTATATCAACTTTTATGAACTCTTTCATTCGAAAATTTTAAGATTTGTATCTTCATAATACATTTAAGAGTAATTTTATCTTTTTAAGGGGAATTCAAAGTTCTTCTTTAAAAGGGGAAAACGAAAAAAAAAAATGTACTATATTTTCAACATTTTAATAAGTTCAACAAACCTATCAAAACTTAGAATATCGAGTATAAAATATATTTTATAATAAAAATATTATATAAACGTACAAATATAAATTTATTTATTTTTCAAGAAATAAATGTACTGTTATTTGTCTATCGCTAGCTTGTCAAGCCACATTTTATAGATGACTGAACTGGAATGTATAAGTTCAATAAAGTCATGCGCCATTTTTATCAAATCAAAATTAGCATTTGTAGGCTATATATTTTTTATGAAAAGTTACTCCACTTCAATTGTTCAAGTCACTTGTGTTTATTATTTAATCTTGATAAAATGTATTTTATATAAATTTTATTATTAACAAAAAATATTTTGTATCGATATTGATCAGTTGATTCAATCTGAAAAGTATATTTTATAGATTTACTTTGCACTTCCCAAACCAAATTTTCAATAAAAAAAAAAAAGTCACAGTAAAGATGCATAATACATATACTATGTGCTCTATCGAATGAATAGTCACGAAATCTATTGTATTTTTAGAAAAAAAATATGAAAAGTAATTCTTGTGTAAGTAATTCGCATTTGCGTCCAAATACATGCTCTCAACTTTATAATATTGGGATAGGACATGTATGATATATAGTTTATTGAAGATTTCTTTACCCCCCATTTCATTTAATGATACTTTTTTTCATTATATGTCATTTAACGTGTCAGCCAAAAACGATAATTCAATTTTTCGGACGTCATCTCTACTAGTTGCTTATCTTTCGCAGATTTCTCAGCTTGTTCATTGCCAAACACGTTTTAATAATTACATTATACTTACATCGATTATTTTTCATATTATTCTTTTTCTAATTATTTCATCTGCCATTACTCATTATATTTACTATAAAACAAAACTACTTAAAATTGAAAATATAACGTCATATTCGATAAATATAGTAATTAATGTATTTCAATAATAATTAATTTCGTTATAAATAATAATATAATATCAATTATATATATATATTATGCATTCCATGTACATAAACATTAAGATTTTTGCTAATTAATTAACGAAATTTTTTAGGTGCGTAATGCAACAGCCGTATTCATAATCAACCTTAGCGTATCGGACTTAAGTTTTTGTTGCTTCAACTTACCTCTGGCTGCCTCTACGTTCTGGTATAGATCGTGGATACATGGTCAATTACTTTGTCGTCTCTTCCCATTAGTCAGATACGGATTGTTAGCCGTATCCCTATTTACCATTCTGGCTATAACCATAAATCGATACATTATGATTGGACATCCATCGCTCTACCCAAAGTAAGTGAATATATTACTATTTATTTATTTTTTAATCCAATTCAGTACAATTTTTTTTCATTTTATAATTCTGATAACTTTTCCAAAAATATTAGTTAAAAAATATTTAGATAAAAATATTACTTTAAACAATTTTTATTTTTATATTAAAAAAACAAAATGTAGTATTTCTTACATAAATATAATTTTGTCTAATTAACCCTATTTTAAACGTTGTAAAATATATATTGATTTAAATCTTATAAATTACTTTATCACCAAATTATAAATAAACTGAATACTATATTTTTAATTTAATTTAAATTATATTATACTTAAACTTTTAACTTTTAACTATGAATGCGACTACATTCATTTATTAAATTAAGTAACATATTTTTAATTTTTTTATTTTATTTAGTGAAACTAATTTACTTCAAAATGTTATTGTTATCAGAATATTTCTTTAGCTTAAGGAGTTATTCTGAAAAAAAAAATTATTTGTCACTTGTTTGACAGAAGGTTTCATGAATTTATTTGAAATTGTCTTGTCTTTAGCTAACTGTCATCGTCATCAAAACTTTTTAGTGAAATAAAAAGATAGTATATAATAGTTTTTAAGCTCAGAGTTGCTCAAGGGCTGGATGCAGTATAACTGTCAGACGATATTAATTTTATTTTATATGAATTTAATCCAAAATAATAATTTTAATATACAAGTAACAAATTTATATACATGACATTTTGACATAAATAGATACATTAAACAGATAGAAACATATTTTAACAGTTATTTTTATACTTATTAAAGTAGTTTAAGTATTTGATAAAAAAAATTGTTAAATTTTCTTTAATAATTCTAAATTGTTTTTAACTTGTAAATATGAATATTTATTATGTATTGAATTGATTTACAGGATGTATAAGAAATTCTATTTGGGCGTCATGGTTACAGTAACTTGGATAGGTGGTTTTGGATTACTAGTTCCTACTTGGCTCGAAAAATGGGGCCAATTTGGTTTAGATGTGACCGTTGGCTCGTGCTCCATACTTCCAGACTCTGTCGGTCGGTCGCCAAAGGAAATCTTGTTCATGGGTGCATTTGTGGTGCCTTGCTTGTCTATTATAGTTTGTTACGCTCGAATTTTCTATATTGTCCGTAAAACAGCTCTCAAATCTCGGGCTACGGTGACAACTAACCCACGTCACACGATGAATTCCAATAATCCATCAGACACTACGTCTTATTACACTCTTAAAACCCGTTTCAAAGTGCCCGAAATATCCACAGACTCAGCCATCGGATCCAGTACAGCTACCGGAACATGCTCTACTACCGACTCGAAGGAACAAAATTTCCTTTCACCGCATGACATTATCGCTGATCCAAGTTCGTCAGGACTCGAAGAGAGTTATTCACCGATATCTTTCTCTGATCGCAGGAGTACTAGGCGACGTGACCGTTCACCATCATCCGCCCTGAACGCCACTATCACTCAAGTCGTATCAGCGGTAAGTCTATATAGTAGTGTGGTACTATTACAAACATTTGGTCATAACCTCTTCAAACTTTACTAATAACTACACTAATGCAATAATATTTTATCTACGTATTTAATGAAACAAATAGATTTTTGTATAAAATAACAGAATCATTTTTAACTTGTCTTTATTTTAACTCCACTGGAAATATAATGAACGTTATAAATAAGAAAAACTAAATTTTATGACACGAAAAATAAATAAATCCTAGGTTATTTAACCATTATCAGTTGTCCTATTTTATGATAAATCATCAATTATTAATATTGAAATAAAATGCAATTTATTTTAAAGTTACTTATCAATTATCATACAATAAAAAAGTAATAATATATTATTACTTAATATACAATTTTGTTAGTCGAAAATCAATAATTTACTATTATTCTATTTTTAAGTTTAATAATTAATTACTTTCTTAATATTACTTGTTGATTAAATTGTATTACTTCAAGATTCACTATAAAATATAAATATTAGTCAATACCATTGTTTATTGTTTTTAAATATTAATATAATATCGTTGAACAGGTATTTCAGACAAAAGAGGACTCATCTCCGAGAACACGCAAACAGAGCACCATTGGTGTTGACAGAATGTCGTCGAAAGACAAAAAGCTTCTAAAAATGATCCTTGTTATATTTATATCATTTGTTACATGCTACTTGCCGATCACCATCAGCAAGACATCACATGAACTAGACGACTTGCACGTTCTAAACATAACCGCATATGTCCTAATCTATTTAACCACGTGCATCAATCCAATTATTTATGTAGTCATGAGCTCAGAGTACCGTCAAGCGTATAAAAACTTGTTGATGTGCAAAAGTTCATTGGAACAACAACAAACGCACAGAGGAGTAACTAAAAAACTATCCGGTCCATAAACATAAGTATACAGTTAGATTAAAATAAGAATATTTTTAAGATGTAAAGCGTACATGGTAAGATTTTTTATTTAATGATTACACCTAATATAACCATACCATTCTATATTTATACCAATGTATTACATTCTCTGATATATAATTAGTTATCTATCGTGTCGATAAATATTATCACTGCCTCGAATAGATAGTTTTGTTACAACAATAAACAATTATTAGACAAGTTTTAGGACATAGACATACGTGTTGTGGTTTACCTCAAAAATGTAACTTCAAAGTTATGTTTCAATAAAACTAAAACAAACCAAACATATTTTTACGAACAGTCGAATTTTGCCATCTCCGTAAACATTATAAAATACGCTAGAGTAGAAACTTAATCGTACACAAACGAACATATTATTTAATGAGGAACCTACCCTTAGAAATTTACACATTTTGTAAAATATACCTAAGTACCAATGTAAATTTAGCTAATATTCTTTCAAGGTTAATCGGTCAATATCTCTGAATATTAAGATAATCATACAGTTTTATAGTCACACAGTTTTTTTTTTTTTATTAATTACAAAATAATTTTCTATACACTTTATTCGTACTTAATTAATATTATCATTTTGTGGTTTTAAAATGATAATGTACAGCTTTACAGGTAATTTATTATTAAAATATTAAATATAATGTTATCATACATTTTTTTATTTTCAAACTAAATAATTTGAGCTATTGACTGATTTACATTAAAATTATCGATCTATGAAAATATAATATACCTAATGCGTATGTTTCTATGAATAACGAGTAAGTAGAAAATTCAAACTTCTTACTACGAATAATCAAAACTTTATAAATAATATATATATATATATAATTTACAACATAATTTGATTAACATACGTTACTTGTAATTACTATAAATTAAGTTCTATTATTAGACGAATTAATTATATCGGTGTTTCAGTAGTTAAATTCTCTTGTAAATTAACTCGTAAATATATTTTGGCGTGAATAAATTATCCCGATTCATACGTAATCAAATCAAACTTGTAGAAGTGTTTTTTAATACTTAATAGTTTATAGTCTTGCAAGAAACAATTTGTAGTTTTAAGATATATTATTCCTAGAATGAAAAGCCATAATTATTAGACCATTTCGAAATTGATTAATATTTTATAAAATTGTAACTTGTTAAGGGGAAGTCCGTATTATTGAATAACCAGTGAAAGTTGTCCAGTGTGCAATGGTGGTACATTCGTTATAGTTACACAGATTTTCGTCTCTCGGTAGTGCCGATCATACGATGTGCATACGCGATATACGTACTTAATGTATGATATACCCACAACTTTTCGGCAAACGTTAAATTAATTAATCTAATTTCGAAACTAAAACTCGAGCTGCGACGTTCGATCGACCGTTTTTCTTTCTGTACAGTACACCGCGTATAATGAATGTATATGACGATAATATAGCAAACATATCAAAATAACTGACAAAAAAAAAAGATAGTCGTACGGTCATCGACACCAACGCATGTTATAATAATATAATTGAAATACTACATTGTATTACGTCTGGTACGTGTTTTTTCGTGTCTATAATATACCTAGGGAGTACCTAGTAGTTCTTCAGATGTTGGATTTGTATTGATCTTAATTCCGTATGACGGTAACATAACATAGTTACTATTACCGTTCGTGTTGCCGTGGACAATTTGCTGCACAACGTAATAATATACTGATATCAACGTGGACAATAATAATTATAATTCTTATTATATTACCATTTGTTTTTTCTATATCACTACCCCGGCTCACTCCTGAACCCCTCGGAGAGAGAAACGCGTGCCGCGACAACTGTGTCGAGTGAAACTTGTCGCTACTATCTACCTTTATTACCATCCGTGTTTAATATAATATTATTATTGTATGCGTGCGAAAAGCCGATCACGATGAATTTTAAAAATCCGATGCATCTGTAAACGTCCATTCGACTTGAATTTGTGGATGATATATTTTTTTTCTGAATTTCGTGAGCATGTATCAAACCAACCGATTGAGCGAGTATTTATCGTATCGAAAAAATAATATTATTATCATACTACAACAATATAAGTATATATTATTATGTTCACATTTAGGCATGTCGTTTCAGTGATTTCGCGTGGATTTAGCGGTCCCGCTACCATATGCGATACATAATATTATGTTATGGATTTAGTATAGGCGCTTTTTTCGTTTTGTTTTGTTCGTTTTTTACGTTTAAATACACGTATATTATTTACGCTTGCACGATTGCCGCAACGTTATGTAGCATAATCCCCGTGATTTATATATTATACCCTCTGCAGTGTGCAAAGAAACAAAACGCTACCCGTGTTTATTATTGTTACAAATATTATTACCCTAGGGTTGTACCTTATAATAATGTCATACTTAGGATAACGTTTTATAGTCGTGGTGCTTGATATGTATATATTATATACGTATGTAGGCATATAAAATATAGATTGGGGGAGGGACGTGCATTACACGAGACTGTATGTGACTAAAGTAGACTGAGAATATTACTAGTTATCGCATGTTTAAAACTATGGTTATAAAAATAAATAAGTATAAACGCTCAAGTGTGAAATTGTGTGTGTGTGTGTGTGTGTGTATGTGTGTGTACGCGCGTATGTTGACCTGTATACTGTAATATTATTGTGCCTTTGTAATCGGTAAACATAATAACGTTATATATTGTAAAATATTAAAAATTATTAAGGAAGAAATAAGGTCTTTCAACACCTATAACACTGGTCCTACAGGACTAAAAGTAAACAAAAATTTCTGCATCATCGCACAAACTACGTTGACGTAACGCCTCCACCGGGCACCAATTCTATTAATAAAGCGCACGTTTAAGATAAAACCACCCTGTTTCGTATATGTGACATCTGGTTTGATTATACACGACCCAATTGTGGCTTAGGTATAGCCTGTAAATTCGTGTCACAATACAACACATAAAATCTCCGAAAATTGCGTATAAGTCCGTCCGTCTGTAAAATCACTAAACGTATATTATATAGGATACAATTTTTTTTTATTTTCCTGTAAACGTATTTTTTTTAGACGTCAAAATAACTTATTTAAAAGTTTTCTTATCCAAATGAATCTTTCGCGTACTATGGGTTTTCTAGTAGGAATTAACATACGTATTATTCAATACCTATTACCTGCTGTCTCGTGTGGGAACATACACTCATCCTATTGACCTATATATGAGCTAATATATAATACCCAAGAGAGGTTTCCTCATGAATCCACCACGGCAACATGATCGCCCATGATTTTTCTTCTCCCCGCGGTCCATGACCATACACTGACACTGTTTAATCATCTACTTCCTTATCTCTTCATTAAATCCAACTAGGTCGTAATAACGACGCTCTATCCTTTGTGTGTACATCATATTATTGTTTTAGAGTATACACTATAATGAAACGTGGTATTATTTAAACTGTTTGTCAACGTCGAGTGTAGATATACAATATTAAGAAGTGTCGCGCTGTCGCGTAAAATCCTCTGTCAAGGTGAGATTATCAACGTATATACGATTGTACAAAGGAATAGATTATACATAGGTGTGCAAGTATTAGTAGACAGGGTGTTACAAGAGGTTCGTATATTATTAAAACTAAATGGATTCAAGCGAAGGGAAAGACAACATACACCTTTTGTACATGATATATTATAAATTGTCTCAGGCCGCGACGCGTGTAATTTGTAAAATCCGACTATCTCCGCGTCATATAGGTATAACTACTCTCGATAACACCGCTGCTGAATCGAAAACGCCGTTTTCGGACATTAACCACGATCCATTTATTTATTTATTTATTTTTTTTTTTTTCACAATCACTTCCGTCCCGAAACGCGTTTTCCTATCTCCCGCATATAATATAATACTACCTTATTCGTATAATAAAAATAAATTTTCTCTGTACAAAATATCACGAATCACTATATGCGCAAACTCGCATGTAACGGACACTTTTCAGATCTACACCAAACGTGTGTCGACACACACCAGTTTATACAGCTTAAATTAAATAAAAAGAAAAAAAAGAAAAAGCCTAAAAATACACTCACCACACCTTTGAGTATTCCAACCGCGTCTAAAAATGGGGTTGACATCAAAGGCCCAATGACACAAGCCTGTAATTTCGCACGACTGACGATTTGCGTTTTATTCATATACATATAAGCTATAATACAACATTGCGTTATCACGGCGCGGAATATCATCACGATATTTTTGCATATATATATATATATATATATAAACATAGGATATAATACGTAACATATTATTATTCATGAAAAAAAATACGCTATATTTTTTTTAAAAGAACAAAATTACTTTTCTTTTTTGACAAATGTTTTTCTCAAAAAAATATTTTTGGATTTGCTATGGGCTTAGCGATGAAGTAAAACTGTAACACATTTGTCACTGTTTGTATTTATTTATTTATTTATACGTGGACGATAAATATGTTTGACAGAAGTTTATAAAACGTAGAAAGAATAATGCAATGCCTCCGTTTTCATAACCAATTATATACTCGCTAGTTGCAACCAATGAAATTAAACACCGCCACCACTATACCTTTACGAGTTTTGTACAAGTATTTATGATTAATACTCGACTAAGTTTCACTGGAATCCGCGTAAGCTATATTGTATATCTTTCACAATCGAAGTCATTCTCTCTCACTAACACACACACTCTTCCATTCTGTCTGTATTATATTATCCGTCATCTCTTTCTTCGAAACAATGATCATCGTTCCTGGCGTGTAAGCACTGAACGACACCCTTCGAATAATCGCATCAATCATTTCTGACATAGCTAATAACATTTGCCACACTCATTTTTAAGAGAATCGTCTTCCATCCCATATAATATATTATGTATTTATATATAACAGTGATTCGCTAACCATGTTCGTCCCATTTATTCACTTTATAATGAATCTGTTTAAATTCTTCTGATTTTTGAAAATTTTAGTATACCTACTTAAAAACTATATTAT